GCCACGAGGTTCTTTATGACGATCCAGAAAAATTATGCGCGAGCAAGTAGTTGGATCCTCTCGCGTCCCTTTTTTTTTGTCACTTGATCCGTGACGAAATAACGAGCCATCGCTTCTTCTTTCGCTCCGTGATTCCGTTTAAAATTATTCATTCACGTCGTTCATTCAACCTTGGAAGACTTTTAATATTCTTATTAACGTTTAATACCGGGCTGATTTCAATAAAAATAACTGAACAATTATTTTCAATCATTCTTGGCAAATAATGATTCATTATTAATGTATGTCCAAATTCACTCGAAACTTGATCCTGCCTCAAGGTTTAAAAATACGATAACGACTATTCGACCATTTGTCAGTGATTACTCAAGAATTAGTTAGAATTGTAATAAATGAACTAAGAGTGGATATTTCAGAAAAATTTTCGTTTCACCAATTAATTTTGTGGAAGTACGTGAACGTGCCATTTGGGTAAAATATGAATAATTTATAAATGTTCCGTAATTGAAGCGAAATATGTTTTCAGCAGAGAGCCACTAATTGACATTTGAAATTGTACAATCGCAAATACGCTGTTACAATATGCACGTCTATCTTTTAGCGATAAGACACTAATTAACGTTTAGTTTAAACGAATACGAAGACCTTGTCGCGATATGCGCGGTTGTCAGGGTTGACACCAGTCAATATATAATACAGTAATAATTACAAACGACTGTGCCGCACAATATGCTGTTTTTTACGTATACGTGCTAATTAACGATAATGCTTTAAGCATAACGACTGACTGTTCGATAAAGGAACATTGACCACAACAGAATATTTAGAACTTGACTTGAACTCTACTCACTTAAATACCTCGATTATTTTAAGCAATATGAGGAAATTTATTTATTTATTTGTAATTTATAAATTATTTTATGCACTAAAAACCCATTAGTGCATAAAAGAAAATATAATATCTTTACAATTGCGGTAGCGAACAGTGCTTATAGATAAACAATAAAATATAACTTAATTATAAATTATAAATTGTAAGTTATAAACTGTAAAGGAAATATTACAATAAAAGTTATAGGGTTTAGGAAAGTATATATTGGTATAAGTGGTATTATTGCAAGTGGAGGTGTAGAAGAAATATAGAGGTTTTGTTTTTTTTAAAGTCGAATTTTGTATGTTCGATCTCAACAGATTGGCGTATTCTGAGTATAAAATTAATAAATACATTCGTCCTGAAACTTATCGTTTTTGAGATATTTGACTATTTTGACGAAACATGTTCAAAATGTCGGCCATCTGCAGCGATGCAACGTTGTAGTCTTTAAACTGTTGCGTCCCTTGCACTTCTTATGATTGAAGCGTCTATTATAGTACTACACGCTGCAATAATTCGCTGCTTTGTATCTTCCAGAGTTGTTGGTGCATTGCCATACACATTATTTCTCAATGCTCCCCACAAGAAAAAATTTAGGGGTGTTAAATCTGTTTAACACTAGAACTACCGACAAATATAGTGTACTTATTTATACCAAAGAAATTAAAACGATAGATACGTGAAAGAATATATATTGCAATGGAAATAAGCGTTTATTCATTCTCTTATAGAAAATTACAGTAAATTTTCAAAAATTCAGTCGAATAAATTTTATACATATTAGAAATATTACGAATGGGTCATTTTGACTGCTTTGGTAGTTCTCAGTGTTAAACGTTTCAATATCGTAAAAATATTTTTAACACTACATACATGCCTGGGTTATTCACTAATTGCAATGATTATACCGACCAGTGATTACATAGCAATCGTAATCACCGATCGCTAGTTTGATCGCATGTGTGTTCTAATCGTCGAATCAACGTTCCACCAAAATCTCGTCCAATGTACGAGCTATATCGAGCAGATCAGCTTTCCTTGTATATAATCGACGCATTATCGGACGCATGTGCACACGCTTGCGTGGGTGTATTTACGTTATAATGAGTATGCAAAGCGATCAGCGTTAACGAGCCAGGTCGCTTTCAGCGCGATGCGCGTTACCATAAGCCCACCAACCGCGTCTCTTGTATTTTTATCGTTCGTCCGCGAATGCTGGCGCGGAACGTGTTTCCCATTAGGTTACTCACCGTGCCACCCCCGCACGACCAGGTCCTTAACGAGCGCGTTTATCCGGCCGATCTTGGCGCGAGCCAATCCACTCGTAGGATAATGATGTACCCATCTCGGTGTCAATCCGCTCGACGTCATCGCGATCGTGCTCGCTTAACGGCGAGCATCCGCCATGCAGGCCTTCGGGCCTTTCCACGATTTTAACGTGTTCCAGAAAATACAATACCTGTGATTCTACTTGAAATTATTTTCACTATTTGTAAAGTATCGCAGTTATTTATTGAAGTGTACAATTTTCCAAACGAAAGGTAAAAATCTATAGTATAGAATTAATTTAGGTAAATGTACTTCGATGATATATTTTTCTAGTAAAGACTACATTTAAAAAAAAACAACACCACCCATCAAAGAGACCCACCAAACTGCAGCTCCTGTAGAAATACACCATTGACAACAAACCACATTTTGTATGAATGCAGAGTTTATGGCATCAGGTCAGTTACAGGCCTTAACATCTAAGGATCACATAAGGAATATTTTCAAATTCGAGAGCGACTCAAATCTATTGCACAAAATTTAACGATACAAATGTGAGTAGCAGCACCGTTAATCGTCGCTAATGACCCAGATGTCGATGCGACGTAAAAGAATACCAAAGAAGAAGAAGAATATATTTTTCTACCAAACTTCTTAGCAAGAAACGAGGAATATTAGATCGACAAAGTGGTATAAAAATTATACTGATGACAGGCAAAATACAAAATTCACATGTGAATTATATCCTGGGTAATATTTAAATACCATGATAATATAAAATAGTTGGGATAGAATCAATAAAACAATAGAAAAGGCAAAATAGAATAGAAAACCATCCTATTTTTCATTTATTTTGTATTTTATTATAGTTTAAATAAATATGATCAATTACCTAATGCTATTAAAAACCTGATTTGCTGCTTCGAATCAACTTAATTTGGCTCTTCCCATTGTCACACATTTCTATAAATTTAATAATTATTTTTCAATACCACGAATTCGTCAGCTCGTTGATCCCTCGAACCTCGTTCAAAGTTTGCACATCAAATACAACTTGAAGGGATATTTCGAGTCAGGTGAAATAACAGATTGGTCAAGTGGTTTCGAGCACAATTCAAGTAACACGACTTATCGAAAGAAGTACGAGTACGGGGATACATTGGCCGTCAGAGGCAGCAATTAACGGAAGAATAGACGACGGTGTGGGTGGGACTGGACGTCTATGGTGAGATTTGCCAGAAGCTCGCGTCCGTGCGCGATCGCGCTCGCGGATCGCGAGAACTCGCGAGCGAGTAAGGACAAAAGCGGCGCCCGGAGCAGCAAGATGGCGGTCCATGGATCGGTAGGCGCGCCCAGGCGACGCAGTTGGCTCGTGCCGCGACCAATGAGGTTCGCGTGTGAACCGCGTCCGTGCGGTTACGCGGCCACGCCAGCTGCCACGCCGCCGCGAGTCGGCGCGTTGCAACCACGGCCCAGCGATTGAAATGCGGCTCGCCCGCGGCCGCCAGTTGCCCGTCGACTCGTGCCCGATCCAGTCGTCGTTGCACGTGGTTTTTCTTTCCTCTCCTCGCTCTCTTTCTCACTATCTCTTTCTCTCTCTGTCTCTCTCTTTCTCTCGTTTCGATTACGTATGCGCTCGGTCGACATGGCAACGATCGCGGATCAGCGATTCAGTATGGAGATCGCGAGCGCCGCGATTCGACACATTGTAGTTTGATCGGCCGAGCCGAGGATCGAGGTGCGTTCCGGAACCTGGATTTCGGAGAATTTTGTGCATTCGGTGATTGTCGCATGTTTTGTGGTGCAAGTGGAGAACGTACACGTGTCGAGGCTTATCGATACGCACGAATGTACTCGGTGCATATGCCTCTAATCGCATTCGTCGATACAGCTGTATCCATGTCTGTGAACAATCACTCCTTCGAACTGAAGGAACAGGATACACGCTGTTTTGTGCATTGCTACTGAATTTATGAACACATAAGTAGAAAAAGAAGACATTATAGTTGCCGGTTTGTCGGCATAAACATCGAAGTTTTGGTACACGTCAAGGTGCAGTTTTGGTTCTTGAGAAATTGGAGCAATCTTTATGTAGGTACTTGAGAATAGAGCATCCTCTATCTTAAGACTGAGAGGGTTGCTCTGTAAACGCTGGAACTGTGAATAAGGGGATAATTTGTGAATTGTAGAATCGGTATTTGTAAACAGGTGGCGTTCAGGAACGAGTGATTTCTTGGCGTGAAAGTTAACGAGTCAGTTTCGTGTATTATGCAACTGACAGCATTTATTGCTACTTTTTGTTGGACTTGCCGTTTCAACCTGGACATTGTAGAAAAGTTGCGTAATTAGATACCGCGTAAAGTAGTTTCATATTATTCGAGCATTCGTAAATCGCAATTTCGTGACATGATACAGAAAGAATTTTCACGATTTCTAACGTGGTATTTTTAAAGGTGACATCTGACTGAAAATATTTTGCAATTATACCGGTAATTGCTACAGTAAGCACGTACTAGCAGAGACTCTAGCAAACACTCGTAGCCAGTAAGTTCAACGAGCCAAACGATATGCATTTCAATGAATTCTAAAAGTATCTTGTAATAGAGTTGTCACACTTTATAGTGCAAGACTTAGATATAAGTAGAATTCGGAATTAGACAATTGTCATCGACGCTGTCACGTGAAAGTGCTGGTAATTTACAACAACAGATCTCAGAAAAGTAAAGTAAACGCAATCTTTCCGTTGCTTGTGAAGTGTGATCTGTTGGAAGAATCGTATTAGTAACTCTGAACAATTTGCAAGGAGTCTTTTATTGGTATTTGGTGATCGTGACATTGGAGGAACTCTCGATACGGAAACACGGAGAATCATGAAACGATAGGTTCGATCAGAATTTAAGATCTGAATCGAGGAAGAGAAATGGGTTCCAACATAGAGGAAACGGAACTCGACGTCGGGTCCGCGAGCGACGAGCTCGAATCCTCGATCGCTGAATCGAAATTGGCGCGTCGACCGACTCCCAAACCCTTCACGATCGAGAGCTTGATTGGGAATTGCGGGCCACAGAAAGGAAACTGCGATCCAGCCACGCAGGAAGAACGGACGAACGAGAACGAAGAGGACTCTGATCGAGACAGAGAGTATCTTTATCAGAGACACTACCTGGCGACTGCGGCGGCGAGCGCACTACCTCCTGGTTGGTTTATTTCTTGTGTTCTAAAACGAATGGAAATTAATTTTCAAACGGCTTTTACAATACTGTCACACTTTAAGGAACAATGTTGAGTACAGATTGTATATTTTAGCAGAATTTGGTAACATTGATCTTGATGCATGGTAATGATACTGACAGTGGTAGTTGCTATATACAGTTATGGTGGTATCGATAATCGTAACAGTATATCCGGCGAAGTTAGTTCGACGTCAGTAGTAAGTTTGATAATTTTGATTAGTGTATGACAGTCAATCACATAGTTTGATCTATTAAAATTTTTAGCATGGCTTTTATTTTTATTTTTACTCATGGTTCGATATCTTGTCGATTGCATACTATTCATGTTTACGAGTATATATTTTTCAATAACAAAACACCTGAAAGATAAGATTAACTGCTCAGCATCTGTCATCTTCTTTTAATCTAAAGTTTATTAAAATATCTTTCATTGATATTGAATGTTTCTTTCCTTATTGTGGGTTTTTTACTTAATAATTACTATATACCACGAATAACGTCATTATATGTCATAAAAATCAGTAGTTATTTAATTATAATTTGGTGGTTCTTTTTTAAATTTAATTCCTGTACGCTTAAAATGATTTAAAATTAGTAGAAACTAATTAAAATCAACATATTCAAATTTAATAGTATAACTTGTTCTGTGAGCCAAATACATATAATTTGTATTATAAAGGATTCAACGATGATATACTAACTCACACATTATAAATCTGCACTGGATATTTATACAATTGAGAGTCACTTTTAATAGTTAGGAGTCATTTATAAAATTCAAAACAAATATACATATGTATGCATCAGCAATAATATTGTACTGAAGATTGTATAAATTTTAATGATTTTGATGGCCACAATGTGTATATGTATGATAGTGTATCAGTGTTGGTAGTATCATTCTTGAACTTCCATTATTTTAATTTATAGATTAATTTATATCAAACTGCAGTTAATTAATCCACCTATCATTAAATTCGTTTCATCAGAAATTATAATACACTTTCCGTTCAATCGTCCGAAATGATACTTAAGTTTCATTTCAAAGTTTCAACACAAACTTCAACAAAATTGGGCTAAACGAAAACCGAATATTACATAAACGATGTATTATTAGATCCACCGGAAAGTTCCATTTTTTAAGTAAAAGAAAATAATACATTTTTATAGCGATTATCAATATCTAATTTACAATGTAATTTCCATTAACGTTAACAAATTTCTTCCCCATTTCGATAGCAAAATAACCACTTTCCTTGCGTATTTAAAATAATTATATGGTAAATGACTAAAACTTTCCGGTTGACCTAATATGCAAGAACATTACATAACGTTATAACCAGCTGCTATCTTTCAACTTGTAATCTACGCGATACTAACTACACTGTGCATCGTATTAAATGTTTTTCAATAACCAACGAATGCGAGTGAAAATTTAAAATGCTCGTCAAGTTCTGAATTTATAAGATTTAAACATTCATAACGCATAAATTAATGGCGAAGATTTTCTCTAAGTACCATTTCTATAGATATCCTAATCACCGGATGTAGTGAGTACGTATAATTTTATCCGTGCTCGCCCTACTTTCGGTGCAAAATGAATTCCGCTTCAATCAAACTTCACTAAATGTCATCTTCGTTATTACGTCACTTTGAGATTGCGACAGGATCTAAACTCATACTGTGACCACCTGTTGAGGTATATATATACATATATTATATATATATTTATATATATATATATTTCATTCAATAGTTAATAAATTGATCTTTTCATATTTTCTCAATAAGGGGGCTTTTCATTCGCTGAATGACCGTGCATATACTACGAAAACTCAACAATTTAACTGAAAGTCAAAAATTATCACAAATGTCTTGATGTGCGTGTAAAACATCATACAAAGTTTCGATAATAAATATGCAATTAGTATAAAAAATTGAACTACAATGCAAAGGTAAATTCTCATTCCTTTTTTAAGTAGAGTAACTGTCCCAATAATCAGACGGTTGAGGAAAAATAAGTGCTTTTATGTTTGATTTGTTTACTTGTATTTGAGTATCTCGTTTCTACATTTTATTGATTGGAATAAATAGATCTGATATCTATTATTAAAAACATTGACTTGTCCTAACAATTGGAGTCTCGAAGATCACTTTGCAGTAATAACTGTAGGCACATTGACCTAGTTATTGGGCAGAATAAAATCGAACAAGAAGCTACGTAATATTCATTTATTTTAGTGTTTTAGTCTAGTAAGTAAATAAAATTAATAGGTAATATTAGAAGCCGTATCGTAGTTATTAATGCCAAAAATGCTTGAAAACAGTGGACATGTTGAAATAGTTTATTGTTTTATGCGTACTATGTACATTTTAGGTTCGATTGATATAATTTTTTACCACATTTATATAGTTTATAAAAAAACTTGTCAAAAATTCTATCATAATAATGAAATATAGTGATGAAAATCTCAAAGTTTTTGGTGACTTAGACCACTTTCATAATAATCAGCACGTATATGTTTTCTGGTGTCTGTTATCTGCTAGTTTTATTGTATCCAATGTGTGGTCTATAGAGTGTAGTATTATGCGTTGTGAATAGGTCATACACTCCGCCTAATCCCCTCTAGAAATCCCCACCTTCTGATTTCTAGCGACCACACTGGTTTCTTCTATGTGACTTTCATCTCGTAATATACTCGCGAATGCAATGGACTTAGCCAATAATGGCAAACCATGTATCTGGAGGTGGTACAGCTGATTTGATTCGTCAGCAACTTATGATCTTTGCATAGTAGTGTTTTATCGATGCATATGGAACGCGACAAATTTTTATGGTACATATCATAGAGCTGTTCGCGTACGTAAAAATCAAGACAAGACTCATTTTTTTAGACCAAATTAAGTACTTGATTATCCACGTACCTTAAACTTGTTATCAAACTTAACAAAATTCTATATGTTCAAATGTTTGAACAACTTGATTGCATTCAAGTTCCATCTTTTAGAAACAATTTTGAAATAATAAGTATTAAGATTTTTACCCTTTCTAAACTCAAGGAAATTAAATATTTTTAAGCATTTTTTAACTTTTACTAAATTGAGCAATTTAATCAAATATTAAACTACTGCAAGTTATTTAGGCGAATAAATAACAATAATAATTGCAGTTTCCCTTAAATTTCTAGAATTATTATTATTCTTGACAAAGTATGACTTCTTTCTAGTGAACTTTATTATTGAGATATACTTTTATAATTAAGTAAGAATACATAATTAAGTTTTTTTAAATAAACAAGTTTGCTTGGATAATCAAGATTGTTTATGCAATCAAATACTTTACTTGATTTAATTTAAACAATTTAAGCTTAGCTTGACTGGCTTGTATTTTCAAATACTTGGGCACGTCTAATATGTTATTTTTGTATAGTAACAATTTAATTAGATGTGAGATATACAGTATTTGATTCCGCTCTGTATTTATTTTAAATTTAACAGTAGAAACTAATGAACAAATGTATAGGAAGTAAATAAACAGTTATAGTTACGTTACTTTCACATTATAATTTCAATCGAATATAATTAAATTCTTACATAATAATACGATAATAACGTCATATTATTTTATTACCTAGGACATATAATCACTCTTACATTCTATCATACTTATTTTTGTAGCAGCTGTGTGTATGGATAAATGTGTTTGTCAAGGTACATAAAATTTGGTCTCATATCGCTTATGATATACAAATAAAAATGTTGAACTTTTATTACTTATTTTTGTATTTTAAAAAAGAAATTTAACTCGAGTTCCCTTATTAATGGAACTTCAATCGAATGTGAATAAATCGTAGAATGAAATTAGTAACGGTACTATATTAATTTTATATGTTGGAACTTTTAATATATCGAGTATTGTGTGTTCGAATAAGATAATTTGAGTAGACGATCTTGTAATTGTCTTTAGCGACAATTGTTTACTAAATAAGGTAAGCAGTATGCTTGTAATGTAGTCACTATAAACATGAAACGAAAAAAAACGTGAAATGTATTGGAACAAACAAGATATGACAATAAAGTTTTGAGACTTTTGCCCATTTTTATTAGTAATAATATAAAAAATTACGTTCGCTCTCTCTGTAGCTTAATTTCCCTTCTATCAACATGCAAAAAGTAAACATTGCTAATCGTTCCAATTATTGTACAATTAAACTTGAGTAAAAATGAAAAATGAAACGTAATGTGGAGCAAAGAATTATGATTAAATTTTTGGTAAACGCTGCAAATCATCAATAGATTTTTATGATGAATTAACCAGACTTTATTGAAACAATACCATGCCGAATTCACACGTTTTTATTTGATACGAGTTAAGTAGGTTCAATTTATAATTGCTTTAGCCATTTTGGTCAAATAACTTTTGTATTTAATTTTAACTCTAATTCTAGCAAATTTTTGGTTCTAACATAAACGAGTTTATCTACCAAGTGTCGATCTTTAATAGAATTTATATTTGGCAACTTAAGATTACGGATTTAAGTTCAATTTTGGATTTGAGCTCTTACATTTGAAAGTTTGCAAATACATTAAAATACACCAGTTTTGCTAAGAAAGCTTGTATTGTAATTTCGTTGTAGAAAATATAATGGTGGACTTAAGTTATTTTACTCTAGCAGCTGTCGTAACGTCAAAACATTGATATTTGAGGCATAAAATGTGCGAAGAAAATACAAATTTAATATTTCTATATACAAGTTCGTGGGCAAAAATCTATCACCCACCTGGGGTCTGTAGTCCCTGAATTAAAAACTACTGGTTTATTGATTGTTAGATTGCAACCTTAAAATTTTGTACGAGAAACTTTGATTTTAGATAACTGTAAGCTACACAACTTAAAATTTGTCTCAATACTTATTTTTGTAACCTCTGTAAAATTGATGAATTTTATTCATGTTCTTTAACATTTCAACTCGGGAAGCATTTGTTTTAGTTTCAGAGTGAAGAGTTCTGTCACCCATATTTGAGTGGCATAGCAGTCAAAGTGTTAGAATGAGCATTGCATCCGTTTAATTTTTCAAATAAAAGTTTTCCATTTAATTATCCTCGAAACTATATTGTCACGTATAAAATTTAACACGCCATAAGCGGTGGTTTCAACATAATCGAGCAGTTATTTTACGTATCCTTGCTCCCTAGGTTTCAGCGTGCCGCTTGGTCTGTACGGTGCATGGCTACCAATGCGGATGTATGGCAACGGCGGGACTTCCGGTGTCCCAATGTTGCCCGCGCATACCTCTGCCAGCTATCCGTCTCACCAGGATCTCTATCAGAGCCGATTGTCCCAGCATCTGGGCCCTGGACCAAATCATCTTCAGGGCGCAGCATATCCAACCGGTTGCCAACGCACCTCGAATCATCGTGGTTCGACCAGCTTCACCGATAGCGAGGACGACGGCAGCATCGACTCGCCAGCTTCACCAGCTCACGATCTTTCCAAATCCCGCCATGGTAAGCCTTTGGTCCAAATAGTCCACAGTCTTTCAGCTGACACAGTTTTATTCTCCACTTTCGTTCTGTAATAATTTCTTGAAATCTGACTTTCACGATATAGTATTCTGATAAGATTTAATCCTTTCCCGATGAGGTACTTTATTTACCTGATTGGGGCAGTGCAGTTTGATATATAGCAATTTCGTTTTCTATTTAGACAATTTTAATTTCTTCCTTGAAACGAAGCATTCGAGCCTTTCTAGTAACTAGAACGAATGACATGAGGTTTACTCCTTCATTGATGAGATACGTTTACCTAATTACTGCAGTGGCGTTTGATATACATATAGCAATTTCGTTTTCTATTTAGGCAATTTTAATTTTTTCTTCGAAACGAAGCATTCAGGTCTTCCTATTAAGTACACTAGAATGAATGACATAAATAAAATTTTATTTCTAAAGAATATAAGAATAGAGATTTTAGAGAAGAAGAGATTTATTAATATACTCTCGATTTCGTTCCTTTTTTGTGATTTATTTAGCACGTAAATATAATCACTTTAATATTGTAATATAGTTGTTGATATACATAATTGTGGAAAGTATGTAATATTTAAAATATTTGGATGAGAGTTGGGAATCGTACTTCTGTAAAATAGTATGACATCCTCTGACTTAAATTGTAAGTGAACATCTATTTATATTTTCGAGTGAATTTAATTTATATTGTTCAAACAAAAAAGAATTAGAAAACTTGATAAAATGGCCGAATTGGCACGCTGCTGGTCGCAACTTGTCCATCTCTACTCTAGATAGATCTCGATGACTATCTACTTGAGCTACAAATTAAAAAAGTAAAAAGTGTAACAGTTCCTTTCTTTCCTCAAGTTAGGCTATATCGCATCGCGTTGGAGAAATAATACAGTTTTTTTAAATCAACGAACATCGATGCTCGATCTATAGTGTCATACTTTATACACTGTGGAGCATAACTATAGCACCACTATAATTTTCAAGAGTTTTGTAGTTGTAACTAATGATTTCTAAATGTTAATAATGCCACGTGAAAAGGACTAGAAAAAAATTATAATTAATGGAAAAAATACAAAAATAACATTTATTTAACATGAAGTATGATAATAAATGAAATATTGCAATGGTGCATAACTATAGCGCCAATGTATTTGGAACGTAATAATAAGGTTAAATGGCTATAAAGTGTTAAATTTCTAATTCAGTTTATTAAAGTGAGCAGTTTCAATAATGAGTAGGACCTCCTTTTTTATGTATTAATTCAAAAATACGATTGTTCATACTTGTAATGAGTTTTTTCGAGGTTTCTTCACTAATTTGATTCCACGCTTCAATAACTGTTGTTTTTAGCTCCGAAATGTTCGAAAATTGTCGATTATTTCCATAAATATGCCGTACCATGATACCCCATAGGTTTTCATTTGGATTTTGGTCTGGAGAGCATGCAGGCCATTTCAATACATTGACATCAAACGTTTCAAACCATGCTGTGGTTTGTCGGCTTTTATGGATTGGAGTATTATCTTGTTGATAAGTCCATGAAATGTTGACTGTTTGCATGAATAAAAGGCAATAAATGATTTTCGAGTATTCTAATATACTCCGCACTATTCATTCGTGTAGTTGGAAAAGCTAATCTGAGCTTGCCACAGGAGCAGAATGCACCCCACACGATAAGTGTCCCTCCACCGAAATTACGTTTCGAAAAGTATTTTTGTTCTTTACGAAGGTCCCTCCAATATAAATTAAATCCATCTGGACCGTCCAAATTGAATTTTTTTTCGTCAGAGAAAATAACCTAAGTTAAATAAGGAATATTGAATATGAAGCTAAAATCTCGATTTATGAATGTTTAAACTTAACTTACATTATTCCAATTTCTGCTCATGTTTTTTCGTGCGTATTCAAGCCTGGCTATTTTGTGACGTTTCAGAAGTGTAGGTGCAGACATCATTTTTTGTCTTATAATGTTTGAATTATGTTTAAGGACACGTTGGACAGTCCAACGAGAAACGCCGAGATCACATTCCTTCACAATTTGTTTACAGCTTTTTAACGTATTGCTCGCAACTTTAGCAATTTGCCTTTCAGTACGAGGGGATAACTTCTTCTTAGGTCCCCCTTTCTTATTTTTCCCATACTTAGTAGGATCGCGTAAAAAATTCAGTACAACTTTATGAGATCGCCCGAGTTTACGTGCGATTTCACGTATCCCCATTTTTTGCTCTCTGTACGCTGAAATTGCACGTTGCTCTTGTTCATTAAGGTAGCTGCCACGTGGCATTGTATTAATTAACTAAGAATTCCCGGGTTTACTAAAAAAATTCCAACAGAAACCCTTGAAGTGCGTTAAAAATGAACTGGTTCTATTGTTTTGCACCGATCGTCAAACGTTTATCGATTAAATCTTGACATATAAGTAGACAACTTCAATGAATTTCACCTAAAATCCATTATTTACAATGCTTTTTCATACCATATAATTGGTTGTTTCAAATTATTTTCTTACAGGTTGGAAATGTTAAAAATATTAGTGGTGCTATAGTTATGCTCCGCAGTGTATGTATAATCCACATTTCGGTCAGTAAAATGCATGACTGACACTGGACAAAATTTTTATTTGCCAAGCGTAGTAGTTTGTTGCATTCTATAATATACAGAAACGTGCAAGAAAGATTTTTAGTCCACGAGACTTTTAATATTAGTTTTCATTAAACGCGGAAATTGTATTATTTCTGGGACACCGCGTTAGCGATCGGAATTTGAACGTCATTTTCAATTGTTACCGGTTCATTAACGGCAGTGCATTGTCACGCGAACGGGATCGTGAAATACCAATTTATTTATATTCCGCTATTAACTTACGGCCATTGGTAATTTTATATTCGAAGCACGCGCGAGTTCTACGCTATAGCTTGACGTCTGACGGCTGTTAGCGTTAACAGGATGCGGGAGCGATCGTTTTAATTATTTCTAGCACTGACGAAATCGTATCGTGGTGGCAGTCATTAATTACATAAAGATACTTATTAGGGCAGAGACTACAGAGCCGAGACGTTCTTGCTATTTTAACCGGTGCTTCAGATTTAACGCTTCGATCCAACGGAAAGGGAGTTCTGAATTTTTAAACGTAAACTAAGGTAACCGTTTCGGTAATTGGACGGTTAAGGAAAAATAGAATATCGTCTTCACTATAAATAATCATTTGTATTATTGATCTTACATTTATTTTTGTATTGTTCAATTTCTACATTCGGTTAATATACATATAACTAATAATTCTTCCGTTAAAAAAAAATTATTTTTATTCAAAAGTGCCAAGTTATCAAATGCAGTAAAATTAAACAAAAAGATTTATAGCAGCCATTTCGTTTTGTATTTTTGCCTAAGAATTAAATTAAATTAAAAAGCAAACAATATTAAAAGTCGTTTAATCCTACAAGATTTGTTCATCTTCGTAATCAGTCTTTATCTAAGTTAATGTGTGCTACATAGCCAATGAAAAATTTATTAAAGATCAATTATGGAATGATATTATCTTATGAAACTCGCAGACATCGACGAATGCAACCTGTTTTTTTAATATTAAAAAAGAAACTACACCAAATGTTCGGATCATTAAGTTAAATCGAAGCTCCTTATATGTTATAAACATCTAGTTATTCTATTTGTGGTCCGATAGTAATATAAAATGTAATTTATTCAGCTCTAATAAACCATACAGCGAAATTACAAAGTTAGCAAAGAAGAGATGTTTTATAAAACTGTTTCGATAGTAATACACAAGCACGGGAATTCTCCGCGACTGACTAGCGAGCTCTACTTGGGGGTACCCCTACGGTCGACCAGTCCTCTAACGTAAAATTTTCTTTTCTTCCTTTACTCAGTAGCAATTTTTCAGATTTTTTTTAGATTTTTAAGTTAAATTTAAGTCACAATTACTAATATCATCTTGAATAAAAATAAAATAACACTGACTTCCTGGATTAATACTTCATCAATATTGAACTCAAAATGTTCCAACAAATAATTTAAACTGCAGTATCGTTCAAAAATCTCATCCAACTTATCAAAAAGTATACATTCTGAGTATTTTCTGGCAATACGATGAAATAACTTCATGAAACTGTTTAGAAACAATTTTTCGAATCGGAGAAGCAGTGTCCCAGAATGGTAAAATTAGGAAATTAAAATGACTGATTATTCGTAATTCTACGTTTCCGAGCATCTATCTTTTCTGCAAATAAAGATTTTCAATTAGTAATTTTCTCGTTCTTGTTATTCCGGGTGGTTCCTTGGAACTGTTATCGATCGTTTTCTTAAATTACGAAAATCGAAGGACCCATCCTGGACTCATTCGTATATTTAAGAACGGGACATATTTAAGGTCTTCGTTAGCTATTTGCACAATCCTAAATCCAATACAAATTTATATATAGGTATAATCAATGTGAAGTTATTCCGATAAAATAACTCCAGTGACCTTCAGGCTGTGTAACAGGCTTAATCACACTAACAGGACATATTTTAATTTCATACTAGTTGTAGTATTTCGTCACACAATAGCGCTAGAGTTGATCTGAATTAGGTGCAAACAGATAGTCCATTATGTTCTAAAAACCAGTTATAATATTATTTTTAACAAGCAACAAGAGAAGATAGATATTATAAAAGAATCGGTCTATTTTGAATACAAGTAATAATTACGAAATACTAATAACTAATAGTATTTATATACTAATCCATTCAAAGTCTCTGTAAGTTACAATCAGATTGGTAAATGTACATAAAAAAATGATTATCAATATTAAAGATAAAAGTGTCAGAATACTATCTTTAAATTATAATTATAAATGTGATGTAACTTGTATGATATGCACATGGACAATAATATAAAAGGTTTTACAGTATTAAAGATCTTTTATAATTCTACAGAAAAAAGAAACACGTAGTTTAAATTAATTTTTGAGAATTCTATCGTCAAA